AAAAAAATTAGTAAGACATATATATATATAGTATCAGACTATTGCTAAGACATTAACATTCGAATATAAAAATAGATTTACTTTATTAGTTAGTTTTAATCTTGTCATTTGTTATTTGATTAAAGAAAAAAAAAATTGAAATTAATTAAAGAAAAATTTGGTTATACCGAGCTCGAGCTCGTTTGGTATACGAGCTCGAGCTCCTTAGAAACAAAACGAGCTCGAGCTCGAGCTCAAAACTATAGGCTCGTCGAGCTCGAGCCTGGTATAGTTGTAGCGAGCTCGAGCTCGAGCTCACAAAATAAGGCGAGCTCGGCTCGTTTACACCCCTAATAATATATATATATATATATATATATATATATATATATATATATATATATATATATATATATATATATATATATATATATATATATATAAATAGCAAAAAAAAAAATGTTGTTATGGATTTAAAATTCTTAACATCACATTCTTGCATGTGCATATGCTGCTTAATGTATTAGGTTGTTAAAAGGTCTATTCTACGTCACCGAGTAGATCTTTACCGTTCATAGACACACACACATTAGTGTGTAGATCAACGGTAAAAAATCAACTGGTGTAGTCTTTACTGAGTGTAGTAAACGTTGGGATAATTTAATTATAAACAAAAAAAAAATTCTCTAAAAACTAGAATTATTTTTGTAGAAATATAATGTAAGTTAATATAATTCGTTTATATTATGAAGGAAAAAAAATTAAAATATAAAGAGGAGCATTTTTTTAATTTAATTTGTTGCAGATAGATAAAGTTTCAATATTGGACGATGTAATAGAATATATCAAACAACTTCAATCACAAGTTGAAATGATGTGCTTGATGAACATGCCTTCCTTGGTGATGTTGCCACTTGGCATCCAACCACACCATCTTCAAATATCTATGGTGGATACGGGTTTGGGTATGAGTTCGGGTTCGGGTTCGGGTACGGGTATGTGTATGGGCATGGGGAGACTCGTGGACATGGACACGATTGGCCGAGCCGCCACTATGCCGCTGCCACCTGCCGCCACTGCCTTCATGCCGGCCTCATCGGATGTTCAACACTTGCCGTTTTAATATTCAGTGGAAGTTGTATGTAAAGTATATTATTATTCATGCTGGTGTGGGATTATATGTTTTAATGAGATTTGAATATTATTTTAATTCGATGTAAATAAATAATTACGAATTGGAACATATGTATATATATGTATTATTTTACTGTGTTAATGACTTTAACATGGCATTTCTTTTGTCTTGTCAATCCAACTTAGTTTCAATATTTCAGAACGACGTCGTTTGGAGTTCCAAAAAAGATATAAATAAATGAGAAGACTTCGTTTGAAAATAAAATCAATTCGGGCTAAGACATCCGATCCACATATGCCAATTCATTAATTAAATTACAACTTATGAAAATAATAATAATATTTAATAAGCTTGTGAGCCGGCTCGGGCGGAGCGTATGAACAATTAAAGACGGGCTTGAGTTCACCAGGAAGCTCGCGCTTTTGTCGAGCCAGTTCGTCGAGCTCATGAGTCGGGTCAACTCATTTACACCCTTAAATAAGATGTGATATGTAGGTATAACATGGCGGTACGTGGATCGATTGTGAATTTATTTGGAGTGGCCGAACGTCAACGACAGGTTACGAATACTGTTATAGTTTCTCGTTGGATGATGAAATAGCTCCATTGTATCAAGAAGACAATCGACGGTCAAGATCAAATTGTGGACTCGGAGAGATTCGACGCATGTGGATATAAGGTAAAGAAAAGGTTCGATCATCATCTCTTCACAAATGTGTATTTGTTTCGAAAATTAAACTTGTAATGTCCGTATTATTATTAATTTACTCTAGTGTTCTCTCTCTTTCACTCGCGTAGACTCAAAGAGATCCGACGCACTATTATATGGATCGGAGATACTGAATGTAGTCGGATTGTGATGACGGAATACAGTTCTAACAGCTCGCGAAAATATTGTATGACTAATAACTAATAAGGGCTTCTCGATGGTTAATCTTTACGTTCGTAGCAAGAAGGCGAGACAGTTAACTAGGTCAACGGACCGATGCCATAAGGGAAGAAAAAATGAATGTGACAGAAATATACACATAAAATTTTGACTCCAGATGTCCGTCCCCTCGTACATTTCCTCTCCAGGTTGGGAAACGCCACGCGCCGCCGGCACTCTCGAGTCGGGATTCATCCAGGATGGGCTGTACAGCGGGGCCCGATGAATGCCAGTGAATGCATGCCACGTGGACAACAAATATTAATTATTTACTTTGTTTTTGGTGGGATCCATTTTTAAAACATTGTATTTACTTTGTTTTTGGTGGGATCCATTTTTAAAACATTGAATACTCTTAATCGAAGTTAAATTAAATTAAGAGTCACGTGTATGTTTTTGCTATTAAATACTCAGTAGCAATAAATAAAATTGAATTGAGTAAAATGATATATAAAAAAATAATAATAGTAGGTAAAATCATTTTTTTAAAAGGGAATAAGAAAAAAGAGCGACGAGATTGCACTTCTATTTTAATAGACTAAATCGAGTAAAAGACGTATTAAGGGAACTAACCAATATGTTGTAACTATAATTAAGAATTTTCAATATTTAGAAAATTAACCTCACTAGAAAATGGTTTATTTCACCACATCAACGGTTAATAATTAGTCGGTGTATTTCACCCATATCGAATACCCTAAAAAAAAAAACAGGAATAACTAATGATTGTATCCACATAATTACAAAAGGGCTGGCCCATGGGTGTTGCCGGGAAATCATTTGCTTTCGACCCCCAACTATCAGGGGCCCCCCACAAAAAAATAGTATATATATAAATAATGCTCTATAAATAATTGGTATTATTTTTTCCGAATGTATTTTTACATCCCAAAAAATAAAATATCATAATAGAAACTCATTTAATAACTCTATTGGAGTGGAGAATTTCTAAACTGAATTATCAAAATGGTAGTTAAGGGTTTTGATACCCCATTTAATAACTCCATTTGAGTTGTTCTAACTAAATTTATTTGCTCCAACCATAGATATTAAATAGTTGATAATTAAAAATAAATAATGTGATTATATATTTTAATTAACACATGTCATTTTCTAATTGACTATTTAGGTGGTTAAGTTATGTAACTTCCAATTGGCATTATTTCTTCCGGATGTATTTTTACATTCCAAAAATTAAAATATCAAAATAGAAACCAATTTGATAACTTCATTAGAGTGGAAAATTTCTAACTTGAATTATCAAAATTGTAGTTAATAGTTTTGATAACCCATTTAATAACTCCATTGGAGTTGCTTTAATATATTAATTTGTTAATTCTCACAAATTTTAATTTCTCGAAATTATTCACTCTCTTCACTACTTAATTTAGTTTGCTTTTTATCATGTTACTTTTGTTTCGATAGTTCAATAACACTTGTCTTATGGGGAAAATGTTCAATAATATTATAGAACAAAAATGACAATTTTTTTAAAACTCGCTTAACCCCCCAAAATCCGTTTGACCGGCTCTGAATTACACACCCCATGTGTGCTTAGAGGGCTGTTCTTTAACCTTATCAACGATTAACAAATACCCAATGCAGCATATAACATCCCGTCCCTGTCACAATGCTATCCCGATTTGAAAATAGTTGTCGGGTTGATCTTATAATATATTAGTTCAATTTATTGAAAAAAAAACAAAATTAAAATGTCGTTATTCCCAAAATTAAAACGCGGGCCAATTTCTAGTCTAGAATGATATCAAGTCTACACTAGTAAATAATCCAAGAAAATGTTGTCAAAAGTGGTTCAATAATTCTAATGCGATAATATATACATAATTGTGTTTAATTAATGTTGGACAGAGTTTAGCAAACCTAGTCCACTCAGTTAACGGTTCTTGAAATTGGTATTTATATATATGGACAAACAAATTTGTTTGTTAGTAAGACAACATAAAATTTTGTAGTACCACATAGATTTACTTCTGGTAGGGATATTTTAGGAAATTCTCTATATTTTGTTTTAATTTAATGTGTCTTTAATTTAATTGTCATGTAGTTTGAAGGATATAATAGTCTTTTACATGTTTAATCAACTAATTGATCGTAGGGTGCTACTAATTTAATGAAGTAGTAACGCTTATAAATAGCGGAATTCAATTTTTGCAGCAGGTTTGAGTAAGTATGAATCTTTTCGGCCGAATGTGTTACGAGCGCCTCCTGTTTAGCCAATAGAACCTTTTAATTAAAAGAACGAGCCCGTTATTTCAATTGGCCGCAGCCTTACCGTTTCAATCAATGGAAGTTGTATCGATCAAGTAATATGTAAGAATGATATATATTAGTAGTTGTGCTACAAAATCATTTGTTAAGGTATATTATTCATGTTGGTGTGAGATTATATGTTTTAATGAGATTTGAATATTATTTTAATTCGACATAAAATAAATAAGTACGAATTGGAACATATATATTATTTTACTATGTAAAAATTAATTACTTTAACATGGTATGTCTTTTATGTCTTGTCAAGCACGCAACTTTGTTCAGATATTTCAGAACCACGTCGTTTTTTATTTTCCAAAAAAGTTATAAATTAATGAGAAGACTTCCTTTTAATATAAAATCGATTCGGGCTAGCTAGACATCCACATATATATATGCCAATTCATTAATTAAATCACACATTTTCAAAATAATAATAATTAATAACACTATCATAACTAGCTTACTAGCATTTCGTTATTTATAGGATCGTGACATATGAATTATAATAATATTACAATAATGGAAAAGAAAGAGAACGCTTGTTCAATTTGGTGACCGCATATTTTTATTTAATTAATAATTCTCTATTTCAATATAAATGAAAAGATATACGGATGTTTTAAAAATTATAGCTTAAAATAAATTATTAAAAAAAGTAAAAAAAATTATTGTGAAAGCAAATTAAAAGTGGAAAAGAAGCCTCGTGGTATAGGGGCTTGCTATTATCAGTGCGGTTTTTACCAGTCGCAGTGCAAAATAATTTTTTTTTTTTTCTTCTCCAAATCTTATCCAAATACCCTCTCAAACACTCTCAACCTTTTATTCTTAAAATTTATCAATTTTAGTATTTTTTCGACCAATATCGTTAGAGCACAAGTATTATCGACATGGATGACAACGGCTTCGATTTTGAGGTGAAAATACACGTTTTTTGTTCATTTCCAACGTTTTTACACATTTCGTGTTATAACACACGAAATATATGCTTTCGTTTCGTGTAACACTATATGAAATATGTATTAAAATCGTTTGTTGTTTGTTTCGTATACAATCATACGAAATTCAAGCTTCCATTTCGTAGTAAACACTACGAAATGCAAGTTCTTATTTCGTGTGTGTTTACACGAAATGTAGCTTACATTTCGTATGTAGACTTCTATTCCCTCTCGCTATAGACATGGAATTGGAACCGAGAAAAGCACTTCGAAGAAGGTTTCACAGCAGCCCCTTAGGCCTCTTCGGGGCAATTCTCAGTAATCGAAAACGTCGTTTTGGCCACCCTTATAGCTTGGCATAAGGAAGATTCTCGCTATCCTAGGAAGACTGTACCTCTTTCTTTTCCTCGTAGGCTTTGGCTTTTTCATCCCCTGCTTGCTATGGCTTTTTCTCTTTTCATTACTATGCCTCCGACGGTTCACGCCAGTTTTATACGAAATCCCTTAAATATTGTCTTTTAATTTTAAATATTTATGCAGGAACTAAGAGAACAATCTCACGATCATAGTCACTTCTTTGAACGTGGTATTGTGTGTGATAGTAGAGAAGCGTTAATTATGTGGGCAAAAGACATAACAATTAGTCATAATCATCGACTGATTAATTATTGTAAATCAGAAAAATATCATGTTTTAACGTGTGCAACATATCAATCTGGACGACACGTACTATTAAAGAAACGTTCTTGTCCGTTCAGGTTAATTGGCAAAAAATCAACGGAGGATGGATTATGGCGATTGAGTGTGAGTAATGGTAATCATAACCATCTGCCGGGTATTTGAAAGTTTAACTTATGTTTAAATTTGTATTTGTTTTAATTTTGCATTCAAACTTATGTTTTGGAATATTTAAATTTGTAACGTTGTGTTTTGCATTTTATATGTTTAACCTATGTTTTTTGAATGATTAAATTTGTAAGGTTATTTGTAAGGTTGTTTAAATATGTACTTTAATTGCTTCAGTTGTACGTAGTTTCTAAATTCAAATCATAAACCTAGTGAATTAAAATACAAAACAACAAACTAGTAAATTAAATAGTTCGTAATAATAATAAACAAAATTAGTAAAATAATTGGTTCATAATAAAAATAAAAATAAATTATTAAATTAAATAGTTCCTAACAATAATAAAAATGCATAGTCCTAATAATAATAAAATAAACTTTAAAATTAAATAGTTCATAAAAATACATAACTGGCAAAAAAGACCGATAAACTACCGCCTCGCTCTCCTCGGCGGCTGCACCTCATGATCGTCGTCGTCATCGTCGTCGTCGTTGTCGTTGTCATGGTCGATGCCAATATATCGGGCGGCGGGCTGCATAATATCTCCAAGATCGGCACGTAGATCGGCAAACTGCTGCATCCAGTCCTGTCCAGTGCTCCTGGTGATCGGGTACAGTGCACGTACTATCTGGTAATAAGCTGGCTGATCTGGTGGCCTCACATTCTCTCGATGCACTGGAGCCGGGCCTACGTCGGGGTTGTTGATCTTCGGATGGGTCCGATCGGTGTACCACTCCATGTAGTGCTCGTCGACTTCCCCCCGTTGTCGTGCCGTTCTGTATGCGTTGACACGAATGGAATGAGCCTGGACCATGTCCCACATCCCACCCGGAAATAGGTAGTTGACTTTGTACGATATCCCTCCTTTGGGACCGCGTGAACATGGCTCCATCGATGGAATCAGGCTGCGCGGTATATCATGAACCCACCCGAACTGTCGGACGCAACGATCAGACAGATACGGCTCTACGACCCACATGTACTGGATTGTGCCATGATACAACGTACGAGGGATACTCTCGTGTATATCCCGACCATACGGTAGCCACTCGACCTTAAAGAAAACAATATAAATACATAAATCAAAAAATTCATATTTAAACAAACTACAAATATAAATACATAAATATAAAAGACTTACATCATCCGCTGTCATATTGTCGAGTAAACCTCGAATATGCTCGAGCGTGCCCGCTTTTGGTGGCGCGTTCCATCTCTTGCATCGAGGCTGAAACTCGCGGTAGCGCTCGCTCTCCTCCGGCGACTGGAATCTCGGGAAATACTCGTATATCCAGCACTGCAATATTTTATTTAAAAATATTAAAATTTATTAAAATATATTAAAATTTACAAAATATATTAAAATTTATTAAAATATATTAAAATGAACAAAATAAGTTCAAAATATATTAAAATTTACCTGAAGAAGGGTGGTGCAACCCGCCAAGCCCCTCGACTGTGCTCGGCTGCATATACCCAACTCTCTGTATAGATTGGCCAAACAGGCCGAACCCCACGAATACGTGCTGACCTGATCAAGCATTGAATCCTCGAGCACGTGCATATACCACGGTTTCACCCGATCACATGTCTTGTCGGGGAATAAAATAGATCCGAAGAGAAACTCCAGGTATATCTGAACTCGGCGTCTCATGGGCGTGTCGGGCATCAACAACTGTCCCTGTAACATCCTCCATGTGGGGCCCCCACGCTTCCATGACTCGTCAATCTCCTCAAACTCGAGGTTTAAGGCCTCGGACAGCAAATACACGCAGTTTGTCCGCTCGATGACCTCGTCGTACCTAGGCGCGACCACCCGTCCCTCCACATTGGCACCTAGAATCATCTGGACATCGTGGAGAGTGATAGTCATCTCTCCCCACGGCATATGGAAGTTGTTCGTCTTCGGCTGCCACCGCTCCACGAATGCAAACAACAGCGGAGTATCTAGGCCCGGTAAATAACATCGGGCTAGGGGATACAAACCGGTCATCCGCAGAAAATGCTTGTCTACGGATACATCTATGCCTTCTAGGGCAGCTGTTATCTTCTCGTAGTTGAATTGATTCAAGGAGTTGATACGGGACTCCACCCGTCCAACCGGACGTTCCTGCAATCATTTATTTAGAAAACATATTAATTAATCAACTATAAAAATATTTTAATAGAAGATACAAAAATTATAATATTAAAATTAAAACAAGTAATTAATTAACTTACTTCTCCCCTCCAAATATATGCCACTACGTGCGACTTGAAACTCGGTATCAAAGACGGATCCCGCGGCCCACCGGGAAATGGACCATGTAGCACATCCGGATTGACTCGAGTATGAGGTCGACCACCACGACCTCCACGGCCCCGTCCTCGGCCTCCACGACCTCTACGACCTCCACGAGCTACAACCTCAGTCTCGTGAACGGGTTCCACAGCATCCTCCTCTTCCTCCTCCTCAATAGCACGAGAAGACCCAACATCGGGATGTGGAACTGATGATCTGGCTTCACCAGCTCTCTCAGCCTCTCGCCTACGTCGTGTAGACATAGTCATGCGCTCGCGCTCGCATTCTTGATGTTCAGCCTCTTCACGAACTGCTCGCATAATTGCACTTGATTTCCCTTTGCCTGCCATCTGTTAAATAAAACACTATTAACATCAGTCTAATTAAATAATAATAATAAATAAAATAAATCTTAAAAAAAAAATGAACCGTGCTATTTCACTGTCATTTCGTGGACAAGCACACGAAATTAGAGGCTCCATTTCGTGTAAGAACACACGAAATACAAGCACTAATTTCGTGTGCTTGTCCACGAAATGACAGGGAAACAGCCAAAACGCATACGTTCAGTGGACAATTACA